ACAATCTCTAAACTTCGGGAAGGAAAAATAACATTTTTAAAATTAAACATATGTGCAATACTAAGTTTATTTCAGCTATTAAGTAATTAGGTGTGGTAGGAATTTTTATGTTGTGTTTCCAATAATGAATCAAATATCAAAATAATGCAAACTATATAAACTGACTATATACAGTCCCTGGCCAAATTATTAGAACCACTCTTGTTTTTTAATAATTTGATGTTTTATTAGAGTCTATATGCAGTTCTTTCACATACAAACATACATGAAATGGATTTTATTCAGGAAATTTATTATATATTTCGTATTTGTCATAAATGGCAACACTGTCTTAATCAATTCTTAACAGAACATAAACAAGTCTAAACCTGCTCCCATCACGTTCGCAGGTACTTCAGTTGCGAACGTGTCTCTGTGGCTTTATGTGCTGTGTTTGTTTATTAAACAGTTTTATATTATACAGGTATTTGTTTATTTCATGTGCAGAGTTTAAATAATCTGTTTGTACGCTTTCATCATGGGTAAAAAACGTGATCTTTCACCACATAAAAAAGCTAAGATAAAGGCCCTATATATAATACTAAAATATTTTCAAACTGCGAAATATCACGTAGGTTAAAGGTTTCTAAAGCTAGTGTACGACGCATAAAGAAAAAAATTGCGACAAAAAGGCTATTTTCACTCCAAGGTCAGAAAGATTTTTAAAGAAAATTTGCCTGGAAAACATATTTGCTACCACAAAATTGATAAAATCGCAACTTCAAGATGTCAATATGAATGATTCTGAACATACTGTGTGAAGAAAATTAAAAGATTTGGGTTTTATGACCTGACGCCCCTCTAGGAAGCCCAAGTTAACACCTGCAATGAAAGTAAAGCATCTGAAATGAACCAAACAGTTGCATGATAAAGATGTGGACTTCTGGAGGTCAGTAAGTTCATAATTTATTGCATAATATTTAATATTTCTTTCACAAATAATGCATTTAACCATTTAACCAACATAAAGACCAGCACATATTTTTTTTTCTATTGTTGACAGGACTGCTTCAGTGATAAAAGCACATTTGAAATTTTGCAAAACAAAGCTCAGTTTGTGCGTCGTCATGGAGAAAAGTTTCATCCTGACTGTTATGTTCAGACTGTGAAGCACCCTACAAAAGTGATGATTCGGTCAGTCATTAGCGGCAAGGGTACAGACGTCTGTATGTGGTAAAAGGAATGATGCAGCAAGACCAGTACAAAGATGTCTTGCAAAGATGGTTGATTCCGCAGCTTTAAGACTGGTTTCCAAATTGGGAACCATTCATTTTTATGCAAGATGGAGCTCCCTGCCATACAGCACGGTCTGTCAAAGCTTTTTTGGCAGAACAAAATATCTCTTAGTTGGATTGGCTGGGTAATAGCCCTGATATGAACCCCATAGAAAACATTTGGGTGTTGATGAAAAGAGAAGTGGCTGAAGACATGATTACAAACAAAACTCAGCTCTTAGAAAGAATAATTTACATGTGGAATCATCATCCTCAAATACAAGAGACAGTACAGGCTTGCATTGATAGTATGCCGTGCAAAGTTAAAGCTCTAATAGCAGCTAAAGGTGAATGAACAAAATATTAACACTTAATTGTTATTTCTGTTTTCTTTCAAGAGTTAATATTTGTTCATTAATAATGATGTTTTATTGGTAATAAAATATCGACAATTAAATGGACAACCAAATAACATACATCGTTTCTCTTATATAGAAAAAACCTATTTAGTATCAGCTCATAATTAACATTTTGGATGATTTTCACATTTCGTCCCATTGAAGATAGATTCAAATGGGTTTGACAGAATGGAATATTGGTGTTTCGCAGTGTTGAAATTTACATTACAAACGAAACATACACAATTAAAAGCAATAAGATATCTAAAAACTAATATTTAACGATTACAAAAAAAAGAAAAATTAAATAGTTTTAAAAGAGTTTTTAACAGTAAATAGTAAAATGTCAGTAAAAATAATAAAATTTAAAAGGCATCTGTTGCAATCTGGCAGCTGGTGGTTTAAGGGTTCTGACTCTATTGCCAAACCTATCCGCTAACCTACCAAAGGGCAATTGTCAAAAAAAAATTCTGATAATTTATTACAACTAATATCAAATGAAACAAATATTACTTCATTAATATTTATATAAGGTATAAAATTGCAGAATCCATAAAATTATATGATAAAAATGTACCTTTTAAAAGCTTTATCTCTTTGTATTTGAAGCATATAACATATACATTATAATAACATCGCAACACTGCCAACGCAATATTTCGTTCTGTGAAACTTAATTGACAGCTAATTTGAGGCTATCTTCAATGGGACCAAATGTGAAAAAACATTTTTTATAAAATCTTATAGGCATCTAATAATTTGGCCAGGGACTGTATATGCCTAATCAATTGATTGTGTCATTTAATTAACATGTTCTCAAGAAGTATACTTCCCTATACACTTAAATTAGCATTAGTTAAACCTCTGTTTAAGAAGAATGATCCAGAACTACTGAAAGATTGCTTCCTTCTTTCTTATAATTATTTAAATGAGTGATCTGTATGACGCTTGTAACAGCCATGCACAGCAGGCAACTTAACGAGAAAATCAATAGAGACTGCTGTTTACAACTTATGGACAAGATTGTCAAATTTGTTGAAGATTGTCAGATACTTTTGATGTTTAGACCACTGAACTTTACTGGTGAAGATGTGTTATTAAAAGACTGGCTTATCATTGGATAAAATAACAGGACTTATAACAGCAGGAATAACAGCAAAAAGTAATTATAGGCCATCAAGGAGTCAAGTACTTCTAGGACTACAGATAGCATCTCACAGAACAGTATAACAGGCAATTTGATAATTACATTAATGATCCAGCAATGAACATTGTAAAAAATAGGGACAATATTTATCAACTTTGCTGATGACACAAATATATTGATCTTAAACTTTGAACAACCAAGAGAACACAAATTAGGTATTAATTTATATTTTACTAACAATAATATTTCAAATAAATTTACTTACTTGTTCAATATGTAATTTTATATATTACTTATCAAAACTAATAATACCAACTTGTTATTATTTACACAATCAATAATTTTATCATATTTATCTTTGTTTACTTCCAAAATATATCATTTCTTCATTGTTTCACACTATCCATTCCATTTGTCACATTTTGCTAATGTTTTTTGATATTTTTGTACATAATCCTCCTCAATTTAATAGGTAGAGGAATGTAAATTTAGTATTTCTTTTTCTTTTTGCTGTGTATATAAATTATTTTTGATTTCTCTAAATGTTTATGAATCTTACAGTATTTATCACTTTAATCTCTATATATTGCTATCACTTGTTGCTTCTTTGTTTGGTCAAGTCTTTAAAATGTTGTTTTCATCATGACATGTGCATACATATTTTAAGGATGAGTCACCTACACTTGGAATCTTTTGATTGCTAGCTTGAATAAAATAATTATCTCAAATATGTTTACAAAATTGAGGTACATGCAAAATAAGGGATTTAGTGTTTTACCATAAATGGGAATTTTAACTATGGAATTTAATCTATTTTATATACCTGTAATATACATTTAGAGATTAATTTAATAAACATTCACTTGGATGTTACAAGAGAAAATTCCTTAGTTTTGAGTATGAATATACAAGAATACAATTAATTAACTCCAATAATGTTAACTTCTTTATGTTAATAAGCAGGCAGCATTTATTTTTTATCAATAAGTCTATGGGCTAAATATTGAATTTTCAGGACAGACAAAACAAAATGTAATAGAATACTAAGAAATATTGAACAGATTCTTTAGAATTACTAAGAGAAGCATAAGCTGCTTATTCTTTGTGGCTGTTACCTGATAAATAAAATAATTTCATGGGCAGTTACCATTGGTAACATTTAACTCTGATTTCAGAATTAAAAGACATACCATAAATGATAAGAAGCTACATTCCAGCATTATTCTGAAGAGTATGTGCCAAATTTCGACGAGATATCTGCATACCAGTACACATTCCAAAGGATCTGCTTGGTTCAGCAAGATTACATATTTTTTAACTTTGGAGTTAGCATTGCGTATTCCTTCATATTTTTTGTAATAATTACCTTTCTGATATGCAAAAATATATTAGAATCTGCTGCAGTCTTTGGAATGACAGATTTTAGTGTCAAGTCAATCTATCTCATTCTAGATGGTGAATTTTGAGGACACTTCTTCACTTTATTGCAATTTTAAAGACACTATGATACCATATTACACTTTTAACTATTACACTTAAAACATGTATCACGAAATAAATCCATTTAACAATTTCAAACGCACGAAAACAAGAAAAAATATAATGAAAACAAAGAAAATTGGATTGAGTTTAGGGTTCAGTTGTCAGCCATTTTACTCAGTGTCAAATTCCAGAATCTGCCAACATCAGAAAAATAAAAATCGAAATTTTATGATATTAATTTTACAAAAAATAATTCTTGTAATAAAATATTTTCCTGTTATCACAAATATTAACGTTTAAATTAAGTAGTATACGATTTGCCTTTATAAAATCTCCCAATAAAATGTTTTTCTACTATTTAAATCTAGTGATTTTTTCGCGCTTACCTTGGCAACGGTTATCTGCATTCCACAAAACAGGCAACATTTAAAGACATAGGCGGTGCTAAATATATAAAATTAAAAATTTATTTTCGAAAAATTCATAATGTTTCATATCCATATTAAATCTAAATAAAATAATTCTAATTTTTTAAAGCATAATTATCACCTCTTTATATATAAAGAACTTTATATAATTTAAATTTCTTGTCATTTATTTTACAGAATACTATCTCCATTACCAAAATCCTTTTTTATACACACCACTGGTAGAAAATATTTCATGTTTTTTTAGAACAAAAAAGGCTACTACTGTAGTTCTTTCTCCTTCTTTTATTTTATTTTTAAAGAGACTGAGGTATGCAAGAGGCGTGACATATTATTAAAAGAAACAAAAAATTCATGATTGATGTGATTAACCAATTACTTGTCACTAATTTATATTAAAACCAGCCGGTTTCTCTAGAAATTGATGAAAGCAAAGATTATTTGAGTATGACAATAATATTATGAAACACATAATACCATAACCTACAAAATAATTATGGGGAAAGCATATTCCTCTCTGAAAAATCCATTAAAAAATTTTAATCTGGAAAGCAGAGCCCATAAGGTGATATCACAACCGAAACCAATACCTGCACCTCGGCATAAAAGAGAACAGGATCAGTATGACCGAATGTTGCAAGGTTTTTATCTAGTATTTATACCTATTATTTTCTTTTTTGATTAAGTATTTATTTCTATAATATACATATCCATTCCTTCTCTTAGACAAATTAAATTTGAATATACTTTAATTTTAGAATATCCAAAGGAGTTTGAGGAAAGTTTAAAGAAAAATGAAGAGCTTGATAAGAACTTAAAAAGTGTTTTTGTTACTTCCCAAGATGTAAGTTATTGTACATAAGGTATATTTTTTAAAGAGTAAGATATACCTATATGCTTGTCAATGTCTTTTATCAAGAATAATATTTTCTTTAAAAATATTGTTACCAAATTTGGTGAGCATTGGAAACTATACTAAAGGGTATAGTAAAGGGTTTGGTAGGGTTCATTGTAAACCCTACCAAAGTATAATGTAAGTTGGATTGTGACAAACTTAAAAGGCACAACTTTGTTGCTTGGCTATGTGACATTGCTGAATATATTCAATTATTTTTAACAGCAATTTTGATGATATCGCACCCTCAGTGCAAGACTGCAGTAACTCAAAATTTTATGAAAATGAAGTAATCATGGAATTAGATTGTAAACATGCATATCTATCCCCTGTAAAACTTTAGTAGTTTTTCAAATGCTTAACCGGCTAAATATTACAACAACTTACTTAGTCCTTACTGCAGCCTTGCACTGAGGATGCGATATGCTTAAAATATGTTATTAAAATGTACATTTAATTATAATGCTTACAGTAGATATTCTGATTTTGACATAAAATCTGACTTAGGTACTATACTTTAGCAAAAACATGTCAAAAGTAGTGTAAATACACAGGTTAGAATTGCATATTATATTTGTGATTTGTTTAATTGAAAGCACTGTTTATGTGTTTTTTGTATAGATTAGGCATACTCCCCAAAAGCAGCAAGACATGAATAATCCACTTCTCTACATTCTTTTAATCCTCTTTTTGGAAATATTTAATAGTCTTATTTTCTAGAATCCAATTGTTTAATAACCATCTTTATCTCATGTATAAATCTTTTTTAAAACATCAGTCTAAAAATATATTTACTCTTTATTTGGAATTGAGGGGAATGGTATGGCTTTGGATAACTTGATTCATTCAGACAAGATAATGTATTTGTCTACTGAATTTGTTAATGATGTATTGTAATAAATTAAAAATATATTGTAAACGTCAATATCACAAGAATCAGTAGATTGACCATACTTTTATTTGTTACATTCAGGGCCCTAACCAACTTAAAGTGAATATTTAGTACCAACAAGGGATTACATAATGTGGGGATACTTTTCACGCTAAGGTGCCTTTCATACCTACTTTATTACAACACAAGACAGGCAACAGCTAGAAGGTAAATATATAAATAAGGATAGACAGATTATCGTGGCTGAATGGATCAAGTAATCCAAAGCGATTAATTAAATAAAAAAAAAAGGATAGACAAAGGGAACAAAGCTAAATTTATACATTCACATTACACATTCCATCCTGAATTTTTCTTTTAGTCTTTTTTAAATATTCGCAAAAAATTTGGTTAAGCCTAATATTTCGTAGAGAGATTGACTCTGAGGAAGAGGTATTTGTTCTTTTGTCAGATTTTCCAATAGATCCTTAATAGCAGCATCATTATATTTGCAATCGAACATCCAATTATTTATATCATCCAATTCTATCTAATTTTGTTGAATTGTTATACTCCTGTGCCATACTGCTATTAAGCACTTTATCAATATTGACACTTTGTGGTTATAATTTCATTATAAATTTCTTTCTTCATGAGCTAGATTTTCTATTAGATTCAGATCTGGCAAATTGCCAGGCCAGTCAAGCACCTTTATCTGGTTGTCAGCAAGGAATCTTATAACAGTTTTTACCTTTTGACAAGGCATTGAGTCATGCATAAATGTGAAACTCTTATTCAGGAACCACTCCTGGACCAGGGGAAGCATTTTTGTTTGCAGTACTCTCAAGTACTGGTCCTGCCTTCAACAATGTAGAGTTCCTTGAGTGCTTATAGACCACACCATGATGCTCAGGGGGTGCTTTACTGTCCTTACAATACAATCTGCTTTGTATTTTTTTCCAGACTTGTCATCACAAATTCAGCTCTATCTCTGATATCATCTGAAAAGCAAACCTGGAATATTATTATTATTTTAGAATAGTGGACAAATCATTACCTGATTCCATACTTCTTATTTACCAGTCTAATTGTCAATAGTCCAATCTTTATGATCTTTAACCCATTGAAGCCTTTTTTCTTCATGGCTGGTGTGAGTAGCAGCTTGTTTGCAGGGCGATAGGATGAAAATCCCATATCCTTTATTCACCAACGAGCTGTCATTGATGAAATATTGATGCCATATTCGCATCATATTCGCTAAAATTCTTCAAGGTTGTTTTCTGTTTGCCAAGACAATATCCAGAATTTTTCTTTCATTTTGTGGTGCTGTAATGTTTTTTTAACCATATTTTTGTTTGCGCTTTGGAGTAAAATCTAAATTTTTGTCACATTTTTTTCTTTTGGAGTGATTAGTCTTTAATAATAAAATTTTTATTTCCACTATTTTTCTTGGTAAGATGTCTTTGGCTTTTTCCATGACATGCACTGTTTGCTAAATTCACAAAAAATAGTATACAGCTGTCAGAATACCACTAGAGAGCTATGGAAACCGTTTTATTCTAACTCTAAACACCAAAAATACAAAATGTGTGTGCACATGCACACAAGTTGTAATCTAGGCTGGACAGCACTGACACTGACAAACAATGCCACATATTGCCACGCCCGCTGTGTTGCCACTGTTGCCAGATTATTTATTGTACTTTCATAAAATGTTACAAGATAATCAATTGGAAACAAACATGTTAATATATTATACAGCTCAATTATATACCCTTTTTATTAAAAAAAAATTAAATTTTACTAGGTGGCCCTAATAATTTGATCACCCACTGATCACACTGTATGTATGCAAAATGCTTAATAAGTTTCTATTCTTCTTTCTTTGTTTTGTCTTTGAATGGGATGATTGATTAGTGATATGTCTTCTAAAATATATACATGAAATTAAAAAAAATTCTTGGATAGTATCAACACAATATTTTTATTTGTGCATAAAATATTTCTATATTTTGTTGGAGATGGAGAAAAAACTATTTATTGGATGGTCTCAAAAGAGTTATCAGTGAATGGAGCCTTTTGTCCCATAATCTCATTTGTCTTCCATTGAAGTGATTCTCGTAAAAAATTCCAAACCAATTAACCACATCATCTAAAGGTATCTCTATCAAAATTATTATTTTTCTTTATCCATATTATATGACTGGCCATCATATACTAGTTCTGAAATTTGTTATCTAAATGGTTTATATTCAGACAGTTTTTGTTTATTTCATTGCAGTATGTTTTACCCTTCATGAAGTTTATATTCTTACATGCTAGGATCCATTTATGTTGTGATTATTAAGTTTGTGGATATTCTTGTTTAATCAGTTAATTGTCATTTTAATTCATATGCATAATTGATTTGGATCTGCCTAAGTAACTGCACTCAGGTTTCCACTAATTCCTCGGCATGTTCTCTGAGGTTGGAACTGCGGACAGTCGACTATCAGATGCTTCACCGTGAGTTGAGTAGAGCAGTAGGTACAAATTGGAGCTGGTTCTTTATTTAGAAGGTGTTGGTGTGTTAGTATTGTGTGGCCGATTCGAAGACAATTTACGATTACTTGATCTCTTCTTTTTCCTTGTTGTGATATTCTAGAGTCTACTCGAGGCTTTATTGTTTTCAACTTAGTCTGTTGCATCTCAGGTTGCTTGCCATAAATTTATTATATGATTCATGGACTGTCGTTTATAGTCGGTGTGGGGATATTTAGTAATTTCTGGAACATTTTCATTTTTGATGGATTTTAATGCTAATTGATCAACTTCCTCGTTGCCTTTAATGCCAATGTGTGAAGGTATCCAGATAAATGTAACCTTTTTATTTATATGGTGTAGTGCATTAAGTTCATTTCTTATGTTTTGTGCAATAGGATGGCTAGGGTAAAGTTGATTAATTCCATGAATTGCGCTCAGTGAATCTGTGATGATTAAAATATTATTTTCAGTTGTTGAAGAGGATTTCTTGATAGCTTCTAATATCGCTGTGGTTTCTCCGGTGTAAATGCTGCAATGCTGTGGAACTCTAATGGCATATTTGTAATTTTTATTTGTGAAGGCTGCAGCATGGCCACTTTCAGTTTTTGATGCATCTGTGTATATTATGTGGTGATTTGGATACTTCTCCATAATTTCTTTGAATGCGTTAATGATAAGGTTAGGATTTGTGGTATTTTTTGGGTACTGTGTTAAAGTTAAATTGGTGATAGGTAAGGGGGTAAGCCATGGAGGAATGTCTAATTTTGTAGTTATGGATAATTTGAATTTATTGCAATTGAATCCTTTTTGATTGATTCTTTCCCTAAAGGGTTTGTCTTTATATTGTTTGTTTCTATACAAATTGGATGTAGGTGCGTTAATAATGTCAGAATATAATGGGTGCTTTTTATTGGAAGATATTCTTGCTGCATAATTTAAACTAAGTAGATGTCGTCTTAGATGTAGAGGGGGTTCTCTTGATATTACTTGTAAGCTGCTTACAGGACTGGTTCTGAAGGCACCGACGGCTAATCTTTTTAATTTTTAAGTTTTATTTTTTTTATTTTAATTTAATTTAAGCTAATCGATTTATTTTGTTTGATCATTTTAACTCCATTAATATGATTAGGATCTAGCTGTAGATTAAAATCAAATTACAAAGCCAGATGATCACTGCTCAGATCTGGTGTTAAGAGTACATTTGTTATATTATTTATAATATTTTTGGAATATAGTACAATAATATATTGTGGTCCGGAGTTGTTCTTGTATGATTATAAAGGTCAATGTATAGTGAAGATTGTTTCTTCTTCCATTAAGGAAGAATGAATATAGACACCAAAAATATGTAAGTTGGAGTCATTCCCTCTCTCTCTCTCTCTCTCTCTCTCTCTCTCTCTCTCTCTCTCTCTCTCTCTCTCTCTCTCTCTCTCTCTCTCTCTCTCTCTCTCTCTCTCCTCTCTCTCTCTCTCTCTCTCTCTCTCTCTCTCTCTCTCTCTCTCTCTCTCTCTCTCTCTCTCTCTCTCTCTCTCTCTCTCTCTCTCTCTCTCTCTCTCTCTCTCTCTCCTCTCTCTCTCTCTCTCTCTCTCCCCCCCCCTCTCTCTCTCTCTCTCTCTCTCTCTATCTCTCTCTCTCTCTCTCTCTCTCTTTCTCTCTCTCTCTCTCTCTCTCTCTCTCTCTCTCTCTCTCTCTCTCTCTCTCTCTCTCTCTCTCTCTCACTCAATACCAATAAAGTTTAAAGTAATACTTTTGCAGCAAAACATCAATATTAAGCCGGAAGCAAATCCAAACAGGCCTCTACCGACAGACAGGAGTCAAGTAGTACCTTCCTTATATGGAATAAAAGAACCTGAGCCCAATAAAGTACCAATAGGAAGAATTACATTAGGAAATGTTTTAGAGTTTATATCAAAATATCAGGGAGATCCGAAAAATTATAATGCAAAAGTGATAGCGGAAAAGTACACCTTGCAAGAGGCAACAGTTCGTAAGTAACTTCTTATTTTTAAAGATTTTGTATTCCAATTTATTTTTTAACAATATATATTTTAAGGGTACAATAATAAATCAAGAACTATATTGGTTTTATAAATAATGCATTCAACAGTGGTTATATATGAATTTATATATTAACTAGTGATTTTGCCCTTCAACATGGGACAGGGGATCAAATCAATTGCATCTACAATCACTCCATTTAATTTTTTCTGTCTTCCTTCTGTTCAAGGCTAGGACGACAATAGAATAACATTTTAATCTGTTGTACAACTTTCATAACAAATGTCAAAAAACACTTTTGGAGAGTTGCTGAACTTTTTGCGTCTTGAAATTAACCTATATAAAACAAGCATAATTCTAGTTGTGGCAATTTATTTGTTGGGAAAGCTCGAGTTTTGTATTATATTTTTTACCGATCACCAAATTCGCAGCTAATTTTTAGGATCACCAAAATTTTTTAAAAGAATTAAAAATTAAATTTTTAAAATAATAAACTTCTTGCATGAACGATCCGGTCTTTTCACCTCCAGATAAATATTGTTCTATCTGACAGACAGTTATCTGAAGGATAGACATTTATTTATAAAAAATGTACCTGTCTTTTCACGTCAAATTATGTTGAGGTTACTAACCTGTAAGATAAATGTAAAATTTATTTCAAAACACACCAATATTTAATTAATTGTCAGAGAAATCACAATAATGTTTTAATATCTCTGTCAGCCAGCTCTCGCTTGTCGGATAATAACTATATTTTTCTTCAAACGTCAAATAATGATGACATTACTTATCTAACTTGATCCTGTCAAAGTTTGATGTCTCCACCGGCAGCAGTTTTTTTCCCATTTCTTTACGTCGGAGGGAAAAATGTTGTCATGGTAACAATATGAAACATGTCACAAAGCAACAATACAAATATCATTAACAACAGTCATCATTTTTATTTATAGTAATATTAAAAGTACAATTAGTTAATGAGGCATTTTTAAAATTGAAACCGTGCAAAAATGTTCCCGACTCTTGATACGCATTGGTAATTGTTAATGATACTGATGGTCGAGAACAACTTTCAGCAATCATTCCCGATGTTGGCGAATCATGAGGGTTTAAAATTTTTTGAGCATTATCGTTCTTATTTCTTATTGAATCCTCTATATATCCTTCGGCAACCGTGCTTGATTTCCAGCCCCCATGTCGTTTGAGGCATTCTAGATTTCCGCCTCCATCAATTAAAAGTGTTGCTGAAGTTCGTCGTAAAGAGTGACCCGTGTATGCGCTTGTATCGTTTAAATTTAAATAACTAAATACTTTTTGGGCTACTGCGCTGATCGAATGTATTTCCATGACGCTTCGGTAACACTTTCCATTTTGGTACTTGATAAAAAATCGGTTTTCTGTGAAATTTTCAGGCCGCAGTGATGCATACTTTTTATACAGTTTAATGTAGTTTTGACCAATTATCGTAAAAGATCTAATTTGTCGTGTTTTACTGTCTGGGATTTTGATAATTATTACATTTTCTTTATCCTCAATGTCCACAGTCTTCATTTTTACCATTTCGTCGCATCGACAGGTTCCGGTAACCCCAATTAACACAACAATCTGAAATATTTTTATAATTTAGTAGAGTATACTACATGCTTTGCAATATATTTTTTTTTACCTTTAATCCTAAATACAACTTATCTGGCGCTTCAAACAAAAATTTATCAAACTCGTCTTTAGTGAAAACTTTAGACTTCTTTGCAGTATATACTTCGCTTGTTTTTTTCAGAAAGGCACGTAACTTTAAAAATTTGCTTATATCCACATTTGTTCTAATATCTAACTCGGGATTTTATCATAGAGTATCGTGACCACATTGTAGAAGATTTTCATTTATTTTCATTTTCCATTATATTAAAATATGCCAGTAAAACGTCTTCGGTAACTTGCCGTACTCCTCTTGTATCGCACCACTCTTGGAAGTGCTTGTACGCTAACCGATACTTTATTCCGGACTTGAAGGGCCCCAAACGTGCTACTGCATCATTAGCCGCGGACTCAATTTCGTTTAGGTTTTCCATTTTCACTTGCGGTTGCAACAACAATAAGCTGTCTTTAATAACTGCAAACAACTGTAACCAGGGAGACGCAAATCCCATCGACGACTTAATTATTTTAATTTCTAACATTTAGACGACTTTGATAGTTGTCACAGTTAATTTCGAGTAAAAATAGCGTATGGATTGTACTATTTATGGTTGAAAATTGCTACGTTTGAATAAAGAATAGTATACTTTATTCGGCAAAGAAGAGACTTTTCTTGACTTGCCCTCTATTAGGGCGCGTCAAGAAAAGTCATGCTTCTCCGCCTCATAAAGTAATATATTATTATCTAAAAGTAACAATTATGTTGCGAAAAGTACTAGAAAGTACCGTAAAATAACTTTGTTATTGTTTTAATCGCATTTGGGGTAATAATAAATAAAACAAGAGATTTATAAGACGAAATTTATTTATTTAATACAAGGGATAACTCCATTAAGAGTTTAAATTACAATATCACAGTTAGGATTCAAAACTTGAAATTACTTATAATATAAAATCAATATCAAAATGTTTAAAAAATTAGACTGAAAATCTTACGTACTAAAAATATAACAAGAACAAAATTTAACTATACCAATATACATATCTATATATTTTTAACTGAGTGAAAGGTATATTGACACTATCAAAATGGAGAACGTTTAATAGCCTCACGTATCTATCCAATGGGTTGTGAATACCAACTCTGACTCTAGAGGTCAATCTCTGACGAGTGGACTACATATATTTTTGAGATTTAAAATAGATATATCTGCTTGAGCTTCTTTGGTTTTTATTTACTCTGAAATAGAAATGTACATAATGTTTAACATCTTCACTACCCCTTCTCTTTTTCTTTGTCTCCGAGAGAATGGCTATATCTATTTTCCGGTTTGGTATTTTCTGTATAATTTATTGTTGTTTGTTTCTAATACCTTTTCTCTCTTCGTCTGGTTCTGGTAGCCCTGTTGGTAGCATAGATTTATATATATATATATATATATATATATATATATATATATATATATATATATATATATATACAGTGTAGGAAAAATTTTATGGTCGGTATGCTAAAATTTAACAGGATATCTAACGCAGATATAAAATCATATTTTCAGCGAATAGACAAAGATAACAATCATATTTCCCCTTGGTCTCCCCTCCTCGAATATTTTTAACACCTATTGGCCATTAGTGAGACGAATAGTTCCGATCAGAGATATTTTACATATTCTCTGGTTCCGATCCTAATATACCTAAAAAACTAGAGGTGGGTCCTCCCGTTTTTTAAATTTTTATCGGAACCGTTTTTCGTAAACTGTAACTAGTTGATTCAAATTAGCGAGTACACAAACATATTGGCTATTATCGTTTATGTGTATAAGTATTGAAGTGAAAGAACCTAACGAAGGATATATTTATTATAACTTGAAAAATAAATTAAACAATACAAATAGTACTTACATTTACATTACACGTTATTATTAAATCGCGAACCGTCTAAATTGACATTTAAAAACAAGTTTTTCTACTTTTCTTGTTAACTGTGTTCTTCTTTTATTTAAAATTAAACCAGATTTTAAACATGTGTTCACAAGGAAAAGATTTTGTTACAATTCTACAATATTTTATGAATATAGTGGCTAAGTTAGGATATACATGGCGATGGTTTTTCCACCACGGTAATGGACAGTTCCAATCTCCGTTCGAAATTTATTGTGGGTAATATATTATTAGACAAATACATGTCTACTTCTTGTATATCTCTCGATACAGTTGTATGTTTAGATGAGTCATGTCCAATTAATTCATCAAAAATACACAATGGACTTAAGTCATCTTTATCAGTTTCTTTTTCTTGACTAAACTTATTGATTTACTAAACTTATGCAAAGACTCGTTTCATCCCTTTTTGTATAGGTGAAGAACCAGATTTTAAAAAGTTTGCAGGGTGGATTCCTGGATATAAACCGCCAACAAGAAAAACTGTTAGATTCATTACTTCAGGAATGTTATGTCAAAACTGATTTGATAATAGATAAAAAAAAGTCCTTTTTTCGACAATTCTGCAAAAAACATTAAAAAAGTACCTTATCTTCAGAAAGGCTTAATTACAACATAACAAAGTTCCCAAACGGCCAATCCAAGACGTGAAAACTAGGTAGAACTTCACCTATTACAGGTTAAAAAGAATGACTGAGTTAGAAGAGGCAATCCGTTTTACTTCTTCTTCTTTAAGTTCCATCTTCTATCGAAGGTTGGAAATCATCATGGCTATGCCGACTCTGTTGACTGCCGCTCTAAAAAGGTCTGCACTACTTCATTCAAACCATTCCCTTAAGTTCTTAAGCCAGGATATTCTTCGTCTTCCCACATTTCGCTTTTCTCGGATTTTGCCCTGCATAATAAGTTGTAATAATGCGTATTTTTGCCCTCTCATCACATGTCCCAAGTACTCAAGTTTTCGTCTTTTAATAGTTAATATTATTTCTGCCTCATTTCCTATCCTTCTAGTTACTTCAATGTTTGACATTTTTTGAATCCATGATATTCGTAGGATTCTTCTGTAACACCAAAATTCAAAGGCGGCCAACTTATTCAGATGAACTTGTTTTAGTGTCCAAGCTTTCAGACCATAAAGAAGAGTAGACAACACGTAACATCGAAGCATTCTCAGGCGTAGTTCTAACCTTATATCCCGACAACAAAGAAACTTTTTAAGTTTAATAAATGATGTACGTGCTATTTCAATATGTGTCTTAATTTCTTTGATTTGGTCTACATCTGATGTTATCCATGTTCCTGTATTTATAGTTATTAACACTCTTAATTGCAGTATCTTCAATAGTCAATTGGATATTTGTGCAGATTTAGTCATGATCATGCATTTAGTTTTCTTTAAATTTATCTTCAGTCCGTACTCATGACAGCGTTCATTAAGGCGTTGCATTAGGTTCTGTAAATCATTGTTGTTATCCGTAATTATTATTGTATCGTCTGCAAAACGTAAGTTATTCAAAACTTCTTCATAGATAGATATACCTTCTATTGAGTCAGAGAGCGCTTCTTAAAATACCGATCACTGTAGACATTGAAAAGTAGTGGGGACAGCACGCAACCCTGGCGGACTCCTCTCTGTATTTTGATATTTTCGGTGTACTGGCGTGTATTTCCGTTCCACATCGGTATTAAATAATACAGACTTAGACTTAGACCAAATCTAAATAAAAAACACTCGATTATTTGTTCTCAGCTTTCCCAAATTTTACGGCCGTTTAAAGAAATAACAAGTACAATGAGTGGCCAAAAATACTTGAAGGGTAGTTCAGTGATTGTTATGGTACGCCATATGTTTTGGCCATTATGTTTGTTTATGTAGGTACTCTCTTACTTGAAACTACTTTTAAACAATCATAGTTAGTTGTTTACAAAAATTTAAATTTTTAAATTCATTCATTTTTTTTTGGAATCCTGAGAAAACTAACAAATATTTTTGAAAAATTTAAATGCAGAATAAACGATTACATTATTACCGAGGGCCGAAAGTCCCTTAGAATAAACAAAAAGTTTTTTGAATGAGATATTTGAAATTAAAAATCACACTAATTTTTTTTTTCGCCCTTATAACTTATTAAAATAAACATTATAGAAGTTTTCAGGGACTTTTGGCCCTCGGTAATAATGTATTGGTTCATTCTGCGTTTAAATTTTTCAAGAATAATTATTAGTTTTATCAGGATTCGAAAAAAATGAATGCATTTAAAAAATATTAATCGCTCTTACGCTCTTAACGATAAAATTACCACGACCCACCTCTACTACCCGTTACTCGGTATTCTGACCAGACGGACGACGTTGCCAAATAAATTATTGTGTGTGAATATTTTTTAATGTGGTGTTATTGTATGCAGTTTATTATTTCATATTGGGAATAAGGCACAATGTGACTTTAAAATAAGCTTATTTTGATGTTTAGATTTTTAATTCGGAAATCGTACTTAAAATACGAAACATTAATAAATTTTATTTAGGTATATAAAACGATTTCCAAAGTGGAAATCAAAATCTTATATTACACTTATTGTAAAGTAAACTTGTGGCATATTCCCAATAAAAAAAAAAAGAGTAAGCTGTCATTTAAATCAATTTCGCCCAAATTGGATTATCTTAGAACATTATTCAAATGCAAAAAAAAAAACAACAGGTGAAATAAATCCAATAAGTTTGGCAACGTTGAATTTCCCCTTTTTTAATATTTCCATTCGGCGATATAAAGGGCGTACCTAATATATCTCTCTCTTTTTAAACAGCTGTTTCTCACTCCATCTCACGTAAGGTCCATACCGACCATAAAATTTTTCCTACACTGTATATATATATATATATATATATATACATATATATATATATATATATATATATATATATATATATATATATATATATATATATATATGTCTTCATATCAATGCGAGATCCGTTTGTATCATAAGCTATACAAGATGAGATCCATTTTGCAAGGCGAGATCCGATTTTGGATCTCACCGTGTATTCACGTGTATATAGTGATATCTCGATGTAACAATGATGGGGGTACAATAAAATCGATTTTTGTCTGGACCTCATTTTGCACCCCTTTTGGCGAATTTTATATTGCAGTAGTTCCACGAAATTCGCTGTAGAGGTCAGGGCAAGTGATCCGTTGTGTATATGATAAATATACATTTTGTAGACAACCCGAGATCCGGTAAACTTGGCAATATCGCAAATGAATTTTACAGTCAGCTCTCTCCCTCCCCTCGGCTTATTTCTGGTTTGAATAATAATATTTACATTATTAAAGAGGTCTGTCCAGAAAGGCGATTGTCAAATATCTCGAGAACTAGACGTCGTATCGAAATATTGTTTATTTGTTTAATTATGTATTATTAATTTTTTACAATTTTTCTTATATATGTTAATTTTATATATGTATTTTCTTCTTCATTGTTTGTTTTACAAAAAATGTTTATTTTAATCGTTAGAAAGACCTATAAAATGCACCCAACCGCTTTCAATTTGATTGAGAGTTATTAACACAGATCTATTTTGCATATTATTTATAATTAAGGGATCAACTATGCTGTTCACGTACTATATTGAGATTCCAAGGGAATATTTTTCAATATATGTAGTTCATTTCTGCTAAACTTGGACACTACATCAAATAGTTTACGAGCTACAGCTTTAAAAACAAATTAACTTCATATTTATTCGTTTATTGAGCCCAGACGAAGGTCAAAGTATGGAGGGTTTTTTTAGGGGAGGGGATTTTAACTCAATGAATCAAAATTTAGTTGTATTTAAAAAAAAGTTTTTGAATCAGAGATTTTTTTAATTGTCTTATTATATAAACAATTTAATAATTATTATACTAATAATTAGTAAAATAAAAAGGGCTAAAGAAGTAACCAGTACCAGTAAGGGCAGTAACCAGAGTCATCTTTTTAACTACTATAACTTTTCAAAATACACCAATTAGATTCATAATATTTATGTATTAAGACTAGTAAACAGTAAAATATGTACCTAGTTAAATTCAGTTTTAAATCAACACTGTAAATGAATAGTTTATTCGTATATATGTCTATAGGATAATATTAATAAACAGTAGCTGTATTACTTTTAAAAAGATTTATTTTCAAGACATGGATGACCGTTAAATCGCTCTATAACAATTATAAATGAAAACTTTAATTTGGACCCAGGTCTTGTCTTTGAATAAATCGGGTCTCTCATTTTTAAGTTTTAAGCACTCTTGTTTTTTTGGAGCCACTTTACTTTTAAGATGGCTCTTAAAAAATGCAGACATAACAGACTTCTGTTTTGCAGTCCATGTCCCCCGGTAATGCATTTTCTCTTTTTTCGTGTTGCCGCAAACATTTTTTATTGTTTCAGGGTTCAAACCTAAAATAATTATGAGATTAAAATACACATTATCTTTATTTTCAATTTAGTAAATGGATTGTTTTAGTTTAAGTTCTTAAAAATGTTTAAATTTATGAATTCAATTCACATGTTTTAGTAATTTAATTGATTTTCGGTTTATGTAACTTTAAATGTAAGCTAATCAACTCATATCGCCGCTTGATAAGTAATACAAATAAGTAACTCGAATTTAAGCTGTCTCATATAGTTAGCTGCTTATAGGAGTATATTTTATAAACGCCTTAGGGCCGATTTCTCATAACTAAGTTAAACCATAGTTCAATTGACTAAGGTTCAGAACGAGTAAACGTTGAACTTCGGTTATTTCGGGAAATACATTTCTCATTGACAGTTCAGGTGTAGTTCACGTTCAACGCCTTAACGATCGTTGGCAATGCAAAAATCCCTAGTTTCTAGTAAGGTGGTTGGTAAGTTGGTGCATATGATTCAGCTATTGGTTTTGTTAAAGTATGACGTGATATTTGGCGGTTAAAAATATTATTGTTTTAAACAGAAGTGATAGTGTTTGTTGGTGTTTGCGTTAATTTTTAATAATAAAATGGCGAAAAGAGTTTCCAATTTTTCAAAAACTGAGGAAAAGGTTTTATTAGATTTTGTTTATAAATATAAGGACTATTTAGAGTGTAAGAAAACGGACATGACTAATAATAAAATGAAGTGGGACGCATGGATGAAATTAGCAAAAGAATTTAATTCTGTTAGCGGGGAAACTGTGCGAGATGTTAAAGTTTTAAAAAACAAGTATGAAAACTTAAAAAAACGCACGAAGCAAAAATTTGCAGAATTAAAACGATATTCAAATGGAACTGGGGGCGGTCCCGCGAAGACGCCAATTTTCACAGATAGTGAAGAAGTTCTCCAGGATATCATAGGCCCACAAATTACTGAATTGCAGTCTTCCTATGATTATGATTCAAGCGGTACGTATATATTTTCTTTATTTCATTTATGGTTCAGATAGTTTTTTTAAATACCACGTGTTCAGTTGCCATTACTATATGTTATACTAACATTAGCATCTGGAATAAGTATTAAATATTGATATTTTACAATACTTTTTTATGCTCCAATACTCCAAAATTTTAAAAATAGTTTTTATTTTAGAAAGGAAAATGCAAGAAGTCTCCGCCTCAAAAGCTCTGGACATCTATGTAGACTTGCTTCCATTAATACATTTAATATGCTATATCCAAATTAGTAATAATATTTATATTTTAAAATACTTATCCAATTTTTAAAATATATTTATTGTAGAAATAGAATTGGACTAGTGGTATGTATTATACTATATTAATTTTACTTATGTTTAAGATAAACGTTTTTTAATTTGTATTATGTTCAGTTGTCAATACTGCATGTAATATGTTAAATAAAAAGTAGCCAATAAGTATTAATATTTTGGAATGGTTATTCAACTTTAAAAATATCTTTTATTTCAGAAGAATCCAGAACTGGCACTGAACAAGATCAACCAGAAGTATTGGAAATACTAATTCCAAACCAAGGTAAGATATTATATTAATTTAGTATTTATTTACTATAATTTGGTTTATTTTTTAGAAGTATCTTTTGTGAGTCCACACTGCAGTTCACCAAAACATCAAGATAATAAGCAGTGTGACCCTGGTAATTTATATTTTGTTATATTGTAAACAAGTTGGTTTAAAATATTTCATTTACAGATTCGATTATTGGACCAGATGATTGGTCGGCCTATACCCCCAAAATGTTAAAGAAGAAAAAAGCAGAACCGCTTCGTTTAGGTAATACATAAATATTTTTAAACTTTAGTTTTAATAAGTAGTATTAATTAAGTAATAAGTAGTATTACTTGTAAAAATGTTCCATTTGTTACAGGTCCCAAAAAGAATTTGACAAATTCAGTGGCGAAATGGGGGAAAGCCAAGGTGGCCTATATTGCGGATCAAGCATCATCCCTACAACAGGAATCAAACAAAAAGCTTCAAATTATGAAAATAGAGTCAGATAAGAGGTTAGAAATAATGGAAGACCAAAAGAAGCAACAGCAGAAAGAGCATGATATAAGGGTGGAATTGATGGAAAAAGAACACAAAAAAAGGATAGAAATCATGGAAGAAGAGTTAAAGAAAGTAAAAAACGAAATAGATATTATGAAGGCAGAATCGAAACATAGAATAGAGCTTATGAAATGAAAAAATAATATAAAAATAAATATTTAAAAAAATAAGATTCTAAAAATTGAGTAAACTCATGTGTTTTATTAGCCATCCTTTTTAACTGAATTTAAGATCATTTTTAATACTACTTAATCAAGATACTGAATATTTAGCAATGATGCTACATTAAATGGCATGCATTGTAATAATTTTGTTTATTTTATTATTTTTTTCTACAAATTGATTTCAGTTTATTTCTTTGTGGGGTAACAACTGTAAACATAAAATAAAATAAGCTGAGCTAAAAAATTCTTTTATTTATTTATCAATGAGTTATTTAAATACAGAGTAAGAACAAATATAATAAAAAATTTTATTAAATAAAATACACATACTCAGCATCATATATCAAGCAGTCCAAGACCCATAAAGAGCTGTAACCCCATTAGGTGAAGAAAAAGAACTAGATTATATATCAAGATTATTATTATATTGAAGCCATTAATTTAAAATCCTTTAATAAAAAAAAAATATAGAGATCAAGCCTAAATATTTTACCTTTTAGACAATATCAAAACTAGCCCCATTAAATTATACTGACATTCTGATTCACAATTATTTTTTGTTATGATTTAAATATTATCTGTTTAACAAAGAAGAGATCATTCAAATCAAAATAATTCAGCAAATTAAAACTCAATGTAAAACTCTTCTTCTTCTTCTTTGAGTGCCTCTCCTATCAGAGACTGGATATCATTATGGCGATTCTAATTTTATTAACTGTTGTTTTGAATAATTCGTTAGTGGTACAGCCAAACCACTCTCTTAAATTTCTCATCCAGAACATTCTTCTATGGCCTGGATTTCTGCGTCCTTGGATTTTTCCTTGCATTATATTTTGTAGGAACATGTACTTTTGTCCTTCCATCAGCTGGCCTAAGTTTTCAAGTTTTCTCTTTTCTATATTCATAATAACTTCTGGATCGATTATATTCTGTGTATTACCTCTTCATTTGTAATTTTATCCACCCAACTTATTTTTAGTATACAGTGGTAGTACCACATCTCAAAGCTTTCAAGATTTTTAATATTCCTCTGTTTAAGAGTCCATGCCTCAACACTGTAAAGCAAAGTACTGAATACATAGCATTTTAACATTCTAGTTCATAGATGAATGCTAATGTCACGATTACAAAATAATTTTTTCATTTTTATAAAGGTAGACCTGGCAATTTCAATACTACAATTTCAATGTAAAACTAAATAAGATCAATTAACAACATCAGAATCAGCTAACCCAAATTTTACTTATTAATAAAATTAATTGTCAATTAAACTACGAAAATAGTTAATTAATGATAACCTCACTGTATTATCACCATTATTATTAAAAATGTTTATTTCATTTTCTACTAAAGTTTCAGCTACAAACTGCTGAAACAATGGTACTTCATCAGGCATATTATCGGTTTTCACGAGTTCTATAGACACGTTGTTTGTTTGGTTTCAATAAATCTTCAACTACTTCTAAAAATTCTTCGTCGTCACTTGTGAAATCCATTGTAATATATTATGTATCACTATTATTAAACAAAATAAAAGAACCAACGAAACCAAATATATTGGTTATGTTAACCAAAACAAAACACATCGATAATAATAGGTTATATTATTTGATTGTCAAATTGCAATAACACTACGCATGCGTAATCTTTGAACTCATTCAGAACTGGGTTCTGAACGCTCGAATTCTAGCGTTCAGATTGAACGCAGTTTAAACCGTCAAAATTGGTTGAACGGGAATGGAGAAAGACGATCTTGACTTTTAACTATCGTTCACTGAAAGTTCAGGTTAAACTTGAGTTGAACTCCATATGAGAAAGCGGGCCTTAGAAGTTATTTTGTTATAGTAACAAAAAAGTGTGAAAAGTCGACCACTCAAAATTGCAAAAATTCGAGTTATCTAATTGTAATAGGTATTAAGGGACAATATGTTATGTACAATTCTTTTTGTTAACATTAAAGTTAAATTTAATACCATAGCAAAATTAGAACATCATCTTATAATAACATATGTAATATGTAATACAAATAATAAAATATTACCTACCCTCTTTAGTATCTCTATTTGCGTTGACATAGTTTTCTTCATTGCAGTTTGGATCCACTAAGATATCTTTCGACCAATCTGATTCGAGTTCGTGGTCTTCTCTATTTAACACATCGGAATCCATTTCTTTACTACAACTTGGTTCTGATGCATACATATTAGATATATCATCATGTTCTTCTAATCGTGTGTCTTGATTGTTCCACATTTCTAGTTGCGCATCAATTTCATTTAATGTTTTGCCTTTGTTTTCAGCACCAACACCCTTCTCCATCATCAAAAGCAATTTTGCTATTTTTGCCGTCTGGAAAATATCCTGAGGTAATCTTAAAAGAAATATACAATATAAGTACCCTAGCTTTTTTATTTTAAGTACAACACTCACCGGTAAAATTCCTCGTGCGTTTTTTTTGTGTGGCCCATGAATCTGGCCACTTGCTCCATTTCAGTTTCATCTAAGTTTAAGATCTGCAACACTGTGGCAATTTGTTTTCGTAATCTTGACGATGTCAGAGTTTTAGGATTTTTAGCACCACAATTCTCAGCAAATTTTCTTAAAGCTTTTGAGCCATCTGCCCATTTTGAGGAACTTCCCGAAAGACCAAACAGAAATGGATTATCTTTTGGCACGATGTCTGTAGAGTTTCTAACAGAAAGCAAACTATCCACATACCTTTGAATATTTTTTGAAAAAAGTACTGGTACTGCTTTGCTGCCTTTACCAATAGTAATAATTCTTTTAAAATGTTTTGAAAGAGCAATTTCGCTTTCACTAAGTATATTTAGACACTCTTCCTGATTACTGTTAGTAGAGTTGTTAACATAGGATTCAATTTTGATGTACTGCACATCACATACTCTTTTCCTATTCAATACAATTAAAAGGGCAAGAGCAGCTTCTGTTAATTTTTTAAATGATTTTTCATCATTGCAATTTATATTTAAATTTGTCAAAGAGGTTTCAGCCACTTGCTGCACATAATCCTTAAACGTTATAATATCTTGAGTTACTGGTAATGTTTGTGGTTTGAGACACTGCTTTTCGTTGAGATCTTTGAGAGCAAGCGATCCCATAGAAAATTTCCAGTTTTTGTCCACCAGTTCATTAAATCTTTTAACATCTTTTAAACTTTCTTCATAATTTTGAACTGGTAAAATAGGGTCCTTTTTAAAGAGTAGGGATTTTGCAACTGCAGCTACCGCCATCAATGTGGTTCTCATATGCAATGCTAAAGAAGGCGCTTGAAAGGAATGTGTAACTTCATCATAACCTGAAATTATTCGAGTCGCTGCAACAACTTTATCGAAATTTTCAGCTTTAAGTGCTTCTATCATAGTATTAATGCCATACAAATCTTGTAGAGGAATTAACAATCTGCCTAATTCACGAATTTTATTTGAAACAGCATTTCTTATATGGGGCCTTTTATGCTTTCTTAAGTAATCTTCCGCATATTGGCATATAATTACATCTCCCTTTCCATTTAATGAAATTCGATCAGCCTGCATCGAATTAAAAATTTCAGATTTCAATCTTAATTTATCCAAAAATTTCTTTCGAGATTCTGTGAATGAAAGCATGGTTTGGCCTTCACTTGCATATTTAATTCCTGCTTTGTTTTCCTTATTATAATAACATTTTTTTGCATGTCGCTTCAGGGATTTTTGTTTATATAAACCTTTGCAGTATATACAGGGTAAGTAATCTGCTGATACAGTATTAGAATTTGAAAAAGACGAAGGTCTCTGGACAGGTCTAATGGTATCGGCTGCATGCAAATATGAAAAATTCCCTTTCTTTCTTAGTAGATCTAACATATGCTTTCTAGCTATATCTCTTTTGGGTAACATGGTTATTTTTAAAACACTATCCTCTTTAGGATGTTTTCTAAAAATATGCCTCGAAAAATTTGTTACGTCCAAACTGCAATATAGGCAGCGGTCTCTCTTGTTCCACACCCTTCCTTTCCGCAGACTACATTCTACACTTTTGCCCTTCGAAGTGCTGACCTATTAAAAAAAGAAAATAAATCAGTCTGCTAAAGTCAAGGGATTATTTAAAACAAATCACAGTGAGAAATTCTTACTGACCAATATCTAAAAAATTACATTTAAAAAGCCACAGCATTAAACAAATTTATTGACAAATAAGTAAATAATAAATTTTAACTCAGAATAAAATTGAGTATAGAATAGAATGGAATAAAATTTATGTTATATAGTACTTTCTTTGGTTATATTTCGGGTTTATAAAAAAAAGATAGATAGAGAAAAGAAAGTCTAAGAGAATAATTTTATTCGTTTAATTTTACGCGTTTTAATTTTAAAATTAAATAAATTTAATTGTAAAAATTGTAAATACAAATTACTTAATTAAAAAAAGGGGGATTATTTTTAAATGCCGTATAGCTCTTGATGCTAATAGCTGCATGCTTTTTACATTTATACAAGATATTTTTATTTATATTGTTTACAAATGCCCTTCATTATTATTTTGTGTACATTTTAAACATAAAAACACTTTTGAAACTATTAATTTATTTCTTATACCCCAACGAATACGGTACTTAGTAAGTACCGTAGGTATTTAAGTACTACTTACCTCGTTCTTGTCAATTTCTTTTAGGACGTTCTTTTTTGTAGGTAATTTATTAACACTTTTAATAGCATTGCTTTTAGGGTCTAATGCAGCGATACTCAACCTTTTTTTTCCCTGGGCCGCATAGTAGCTATTGCCACAGCTTGCGGGCCGCAATCTAGGTGAACTAGTATATACATATATATATATATATATATATATATATATATATATATATATATATATATATATATATATATATATATAAAATATGTAATAACATTTGAAAGCTTGAGATATAAAAAATAGTCTTCTAGAACAGCCCCATTTATTGATTTCAACCCACCGAAACGAAAATTTATATATATTGTTTTCAAAATACTGATTTCAAAAATGTATAACACTTCGGTCAAATGCTTTTTAAATGTATTGATTTTTTTTATTATTGGAAAACTAATAAGAATTTTGGAAAAATTTAAACGCAGAATATAATAGGTTACAGGGGTACAGCCTTGCTATAATACGGCGAGGCACTCGCATCAGACAGCATCACAAGGGGGGCGGCATAATCAATAAAATAAAAAAAGTCAGGCTGTGTAAAATTGTTGTCAGAAACTATAGACAAAACGAAAAGTTACCCGATAATATGGCTAATGACTAAATGAAAATTTAATGCAATTGCAGAAAAGTTTATATATGTATTGCATTTCCAGCTGAAAATGAAATTCAAGCCAGGATAAAAAAGCGAGCCAGGATAAAAATACATTGGTTTTCTAGAATTCTAAAAAACTAATAAGTATTTTTGAAAAATTTAAACAAAGAGTGAAATGAAATTACATTATTACCGAAGGCAGAAAGTCTCTCAAAATTGTCTATTTTAATAAGTTACAGAGGTGAAAGGACAGAAAATTTATTGTGATTTTTAATTTCAAATATTTCATTCAAAAGTAACTTTTTATTTATTGTAAGGGAATTTAGGCTGTGGGTAATATTGAAATAATTTATTCTGCATTTAAAGTTATCAAAAATATTAATTAGTTTTCTTAGGATTTGATAAAAAATGCATAAAAATGAAAGTTAAATTTAAATCATATATAAGAGGCGGCATTTCAAAGACTTGCATCATATTAAAAGATGTACCGCACGGCTCTGCAGGGGTGAAAACAAAGAGAAAATTTAGTATGATTTTTCATTTCAAATACATACAATAATGTGATCTTTCATTCGGCGTTTAAATTTTTCAAAAATACTCATTAGTTTTCGCATGATTCGAAAAAAATGAATGCATTTAAAAAGCATTTGACCAAAATTTTTCTAAGTATGATACATTGTTGTAACCAGTATTTCAAAACTCTAACTATTGACCAAAAATGGGGAAAAATTCAACATGCCCTTGTGTCAGTTGGAAAAGAAACCCTCAAACCACTTAAAGAAAAAACAAAACCTTGGATGACAGTAGAAATTCTTGAACTCATGGAAGAACGAAGAAAACATAAAGCAAAAGACCTGGATAAATACAAAGAAATTCAGAGAAACATCAGTAAGAAAATTCGAGAGGCAAAAGAGAGGTGGCTATCCGATAGATGCAAGGAAATAGAAGATCTGGATAAAAAGTACGATAGCTTTAATTTACACAAAAAAATCAAAGAAATGACAGGTTCTAGAAAGCGTACAAAAACGAATATCCTTAAAAATGATAAAGGGGATATTATTACTGATATGAAGGAGAGATTATGTCACTGGACCAATTACATTCAACAACTATTTAATGATGAAAGGGAAGAACTGTCATTAGAAATCACCGAGGATACTGGACCACCAATATTAAGAGAAGAAGTCATCTATGCCATCAAAAACACAAAAGAGGGTAAAGCTACTGGACCAGATGAGGTGCCCATCGAATTATTAAAACTCATCGATGAAGATGTTATTGATGTAATGGTTGAACTCTTTAATCTAATATATCAGACTGCCATAATCCCCAGACAATGGCTGCAATCAACCTTTGTAGCAATCCCCAAAAAACCAAGTTCAACAACTTGCTCAGACCACAGAACAATAGCTTTAATGAGTCACACACTTAAAACATTTTTGAAAATAATTCACAGCAGAATTGTTAAAACTCTTGAATATGAGATTAGTGACACACAATTTGGCTTTAGAAATGGTATGAGTACAAGAGATGCTTTGTTCGGCTTGAATGTGCTGGCTCAGAGATGCATGGACATGAATCAGGATATGTACTTATGTTTTGTAGACTTTGAAAAGGCATTTGATAAAGTTCAACATAAAAGGCTTGTAGATATATTAAAAAGCAAAAATATTGACAGTCGTGATCTGAAAATTATATCTAATTTATATTGGAATCAAACTGCCAAGGTAAGAGTTGACAGCCAGTACACCGAAAATATCAAAATACAGAGAGGAGTCCGCCAGGGTTGCGTGCTGTTCCCACTACTTTTCAATGTCTACAGTGAAGCGGTATTTCAAGAAGCGCTCTCAGACTCAATAGAAGGTATATCTATCAATGGAGAAGTCTTGAATAACTTACGTTTTGCAGACGATACAGTAATAATTACGGATAACAACAATGATTTACAGAACCTAATGCAACGCCTTAATGAACGCTGTCATGAGTACGGACTGAAGATAAATTTAAAGAAAACTAAATGCATGATCATCACTAAATCTGCACATGCAAATATCCAATTGACTATTGAAGATACTGCAATTGATAATGTTAATAACTATAAATACTTAGGAACATGGATAACATCAGATGTAGACCAAACCAAAGAAATTAAGACACGTATTGAAATAGCACGTACATATTGAAATGTTACGTGTTCTCTACTCTTCTTTATGGTCTGGGAGCTTGGACACTAAAACAATTTCATCTGAATAAGTTGGCCGCCTTTGAATTTTGGTGTTACAGAAGAATCCTACGAATATCATGGATTCAAAGAATGTCAAACATGGAAGTAACTAGAAGGATAGGAAATGAGGCGGAAATAATATTAACTATTAAAAGACGAAAACTTGAGTACTTGGGACATGTGGTGAGAGGGCAAAAATACGCATTATTACAACTTATTATGCAGGGCAAAATCCGAGGAAAGCGAAATGTGGGAAGACGAAGAATATCGTGGCTTAAGAACTTACGGGAATGGTTTGAATGCAGTAGTGCAGAACTTTTTAGAGCGGCAGTCAATAGAGTCCGCGTAGCCATGATGATTTCCAACCTTCGATAGAAGATGGAACTTAAAGAAGAAGAAGTATTTCAAAAGCGTTTAAATGAGGTATCACATGATGTCTGTACTTTCCAATTTAAAAAAATCATAGTTACGACTGTAACCTGAAGAGGGATCGCGTAAAGTTCGAAACATTTATGTTATAATAATATATGATGTGTGTGTGAATTCTACAAAAAAACGGACTCGTTAAATGAAAGCATTTATTTAAGATAAAAATTAACGTGATGGTTGACACTGATCAACAATTTTAGATAAATCTGGTACGTAATTACTACAAGCTACTCTCAAAACATCGTTATAATGAATTACAAAAATACCTAATATAATCGTATTTTTTTAAATTTAAGATTTTATAAATACATAGGTAAGTAGATAAAGTCAAAAATTCTTAGTTAGTCTTCGGGCCGCATAAAAAACGCCCGAGGGCCGCATGCGGCCCGCGGGCCGCAGGTTGAGTATCACTGGTCTAATGTTATAAAAATATTTTGCAAGAAAAATTTTTACTGTAATTTATATGTATTTATATTATATGTATTATATTTACTGTAAAACTTTATTGTAATAAATTCGAAATATGTTATGATTTACCTCAAGAGGTTGAGACTCTTTACTTTGAATGCTGGACTCACTCTCGCTAACTAATGCAGAATCTTCTGCATACCACGAAGCCTAAAAGTTTGAATAAAACAAAGACTTTAATATAAAATTAGTAAATGTTAAATATTGAATTTAAACCAAATTAGGCTTCACCGAAAGTTATACGACTTTTCTAAATTCAAATGATACTATCTGTATATTTTTACATTTTTGGATTCTACAGACAATTTTACACCTGATACGTTGTTCTTGGTAATATATACGAGGTTCCTAAAAAAAATAAATTTTGTTTCTTGATCTAGATGTCCATGAATACGTTTAAATCATTATAAATTGATTCTAGGTGACCACAAAAATCCATTCCAGTTAATTTATACACCAATACGGATTTTAAACAATTTTGAAATGATCAAAATTAGTTTTATATCCTTAACTTTTTTAATAGAGCAGTGGTTATTTTTAATCACCTTGTAGATATCTTAAAAACGTGATTAATAATTCACCAAACTACGATTATATAAAAAAATTATATTTTTCATTTATTTTTTTTTTAATTAAATTATCAACGCTGTTTTTTATTCAATCATAGTTCAATATACACATTTATTATTGTTTATTGTTACAAACAATATGAAACTAACTACTATTTAACTGGGAATAAGCCTCAAATAAAGGTAAAAATACGTTTATTTACGTTTCAATTTCCACTTCGAAAAAAAAAGAAGAAAAAATGAACGATTTCCGAAGTGGAAATTAAAACGTCAATAAACGTATTTTTACCTTTAATTGTGGCTTATTCCCAGTTAAATAGTAATTAATTTAAAGTGCCACAGGAAAATAGCTTCAGAACAATATTAATATAAAACTAATTTTGATCATTTAAACATTGTTTCAAATCTGTTATATTGGTGAATAAATTAACTGAAATGGATTTTTGTAGTTATCTAGAATCAATTTAGAATTATTTAAACGTATTCGTGGCCATCTAGATCAAGAAATAATTTTTTTTTTTTTGACCAACCTCGTATAATTTACCAAGAACAACGTATCAGATGTAAAACTGTCTGTAGACTTCAGAAATTTAAAAATATTCAATGTGTAATATTTGAATGTAGAAAAAAAGAGAAAATGTAGCTGTTTAGAGGATTATATTCATTTTTACTCATAATACTACTAACAAAATATTTTAGTTAACTCTTTATGTCTTGGGTATTTGTTTTAAAGAAATTTGTTTAACCACTTTCTTTCTTTGACTTAATAATACTTGAAAGAATTTTCAATGTTAAAATGTAATTTAGAGAATATCTTATAAAATATCTAAATTATTCAAAAATAACAAGTAGTTATATTATTGGTAAATTCAACTATACTCATAAGGTGGAAGTATTGATTACATGTGTTGCGTTTTTTAACGTTTTAGTTCATTTTGAGTAATTTTGACCTTTGATATTTTTTACTTACAGAGGAATCGTGAACGCTCGTAGAATCCGATGTTAAATCATCGTCGTTATTTTCTGTGCTTGTGGTTGATAAATCGTCTCTACAATCAGATGAATCATGTTTTTCGTCCATTAAAGATTTTACCTTCTTCTTCTTAACATGCCATACACCAAAGTGCGTAGGCGACTATCTCATTACTAGAATTCTGTTCTTGGCGGCGTGACACAGCTCACCTGTATTGTGTATTCCTGTCCATTCTTTAATATTCCTTAACCAGGACAATTGTTTGCGGCCGGCTCCTCTCCTACCTTCGATCTTCCCTTGTAGGATTAACTGTGGTATTTCATATTTTGCTCCTCTCAATATGTGCCCAAGGTAACCAATCTTGCGTTTTTTAATTAATTCAAAGAGTTCTCTTTCCACGCCGGCTCTATTAAGGACGTCATCGTTTCGAACTCTATCCACCCAAGGTATGCGCATCATTCTTCTCAATGACCACATTTCAAATGCTTCAAGTTTGTTGATAGATGTTTTTTTCAAAGTCCACGTTTCCATGCCATAAAGCAAGATGGACCATATGTAGCACTTGACCATTCTGTAGCGTATTTCAAAGTTTAAGTGTTGATTACATAGGAGCGGTCTGAATTTCACAAAAGCTTGTCTTGCCATTTGTATTCGGGTTTTTATCTCGTGTTGTGGATCCGATTGGTCATTGATTGTGGTGCCAAGGTATTTAAAAGTTTTCACGCGATTTATACGATTGTCACCTATGCATAATATCGGGTTTTCTGGAGGGTTTCTGCTAATGACCATATATTTCGTTTTCAAAATGTTGATTTTGAGGCCATATTTTTTACCTATGCTATTCACCCTATCAAGTAATAACTGTTGATCTGCCAAATTATCAGTTATAATCACTGTGTCGTCCGCATAGCGTAGGTTGCTAATTGGTATGCCGTTCACCTTAATGCCTAATTCCGTATCTTCTAATGCTTCTGCAAATATATTTTCAACATATAAATTAAAAAGCATCGGAGAGAGTATGCAGCCTTGGCGGACACCTTTCCGGATTTCAAATTCATCCGTATATTGGTCTTGATCAATCCTCACCTTTGCCATTTGGTTCCAGTATAGATTCTGAATAATTCTGATCTCCTTCTGGTCAATGTTGGCCCTATGTAGTAGTTCCATCATGATATCATGTTTAACATTGTCAAATGCCTTCTCGTAGTCGATGAAGGTGAGGTAGACATCTTTTCGTTGATCTAAGCAGTTTTGTATTAAGGTGTTCAAACATAAAATTGCCTCTCTTGTTCCTAGTCCTCCCTTAAAACCGAATTGTGTTGACCCGCTAAGTTCTTCTAGTATCTTATACATTCTTGAGTGTAATATCCTAAGGAAGAGTTTCAACAAGTGACTCATTAAACTGATTAAGCGGTGTTCATTGCATTTTGTGGCATTAGCTGTTTTTGGGATCATCACAAAGGATGACTGCAGCCATTCTCGCGGAATGTAACCAGTATCATAAATTCTATTGAACAGCCTTACCAAGATTTCGATATTCTCCTCGTCTAGTAGTTTTATTGCTTCTATATTAATTTCATCTGGACCTGTTGCTTTATGCATCTTTGTGGTTCTAACTGCATATTCTATTTCACTTCGCATTATTGATGGCCCTGATAAGTTTTCGGAAGGAAGTTTGCGCGTTGGTTGTGTTGGTCTTTCGTCATTAAAAAGGCTTTCTGCGTATTCTTTCCACGCCATTGCTATCTCTTCTTCTGACTCTATGTATTCGTTTCTGTCGTTGCGTATTCTTGTTCTGTGGTGGCTTTTGTGTATATTCGATATTTCTTTGATCTTCTTATGTAGTCCAAAACTATCTCCTTTTTCCTGCAATTGTTCTATTTCGTTGCACCTTTCCACCATCCAACGTTCTTTTGCTTTCTTAATTTTCTGACGGATTTCTTTGTGTATCTGTTTGTATTTATCTTGATTACGTTGTTGTTTATGTTGCCTTCGCTTTTCCATTAGATCCATAATTTCGTCCGTCATCCATTCGTTATGCTTTATCTTTCTGATCTGTGTTTTAACTTCCCTGTTTACTGCCAGAATCGTTCCTTTAATATCATTGACCATCTCTTCGATATCATAATTTTGTTCTATTACTCGCATTCTTTCATTAATTTGATTCGCATAACTCTTCTTCAGATTTTCGTCTCTCATCAGTTCTCTTGTATTTATAGGTGTGCTGGTATTTGTATTTGTTCTCTTAATTTTTGCTAGTTTTAACCTCACATCTGCTATTAGCGGATTATGATCGGATGCAATATCAGCACCTGGATATGCTGCGATTCTTTTGATAGCGTTACGAAATCTTCTGTTTATTAAAACGTAGTCATTTACCTTCAGATTTTACCTAAAAAAATATAAATACCTACTTGGTAACACAAATGAAATATCTACTAGCAGGTGATTATTAATAAATTGGTCCGAAAATTCAAGATGTATTATAAAAAATATCGTTTGATCTAGAACTTGTAGATCTTGTTAATAAAAAAATAAGATATTTCTACTTCACCACAAACAAATTTTATTTTCTAGATACGTATTTCTAAAGCAAAGCATTCATATTCTGTAGAATACAGTTAAGGAAAAATATGTTTTTTTATGTATTAAATAAATGATAACTATATTGATTTGAGACTACCTGTTTTTTAGAATTTCCTTTGGAAATAAGTACATTTTGATGAATAATTATACTGTTTAGTTTCAATTCTTATTACACGTAGATGCTACATAGAATTGTTACGGTAAATATTTATTTAAGAAGACATTTTAAATGTGTCATTAGGTAAAGTCAAACGTTATCTTACTTTAGGTAATAGTCAACAAGTTTATTCAGTAACTACTACATTTATTTATAAACAAAAGTAGGTACTTACAGCTGATGATGCTAATTTTTCACTGGATGGTGGCATTTCTATAAAATATAATATTTATATTTTTAGAAAATTCTTATAAATCTTAAAATTACCTTGATCGTCCAGGTTGATATAATTCGTTTTCAATATTACATCAGCTCTATTTACTGTCTCCAACTGTTTTAAAATTGGTATACTATTATTACTTTGAGTATCAGGATCATATTTTGCATAAGATTTTCGAGGTCCACGGGCAGCCTGCCATTCTTTAAAATATGCCCAAGGGTCATCCTCATCCAATTCGTCAAAATTTTCATAAACATTTTCTCTCCCTATTAATATAAAATGGTAAATATAAAATTGCCATTAATAATATTTAGAATACAGTAACAAACTAGTATATTAACTTAATTACAATTAAAATAAATATTTTAAAATTTTAAAAACCATTATATCTGGTGACAATATACAGCAGAACTTGGATTATGGGAGGTACCATGGAAAGCATCTGTCTCAGATAACAGAAAAATCGGATATTCCAGATTAATTTTTGATATTTTTTCTATGGAAATGACAATTCCTTTCCGCTTGTTCTGCTCCATCTTAAAATGTCAAACGAAAGCTAATTCCAATTACATAAGGTACCAGACAACGCGACGCTCCAGTGTTGGGCAAAATCTAATCTGAGTATGTACTATGTACATAGTAATCTAATTATGATTAACATGTAATTTGTAATTAGAATACTTTGTAACAGATTATATTATACCTATTATATATTAGGGATCGTAGAGGAAATGTACCTAAATGTAAACCTTGAAGGCATGTGAACATGGGTACGATAATTTAAATTTTACACGTGACCTGACACTCTGTACATTTTATATGCGTGACTGGATTTCGATTTTGAGATTTGATATGTGCAATTCAGGTAGTAAAACATTATATCAAGTAATTTGTCATTTTGACAGGTGTCAAGATATTTCTGTTAAAATTGGTAGAGTACCTATAAGGCAGTATTTAGGGCCAAATTCAAAGTTCTCACTTAAACTTGACTCCCGCATTAGAAATATCTTTATTTTATTTATAAAAATACGTTAAACAATTGTTGTATATGGACGGCCTTCATAAAAATCACTTGTCCTGAAATCCCATATTTTTAAAATCGGTTACCTCGCTCTAACTCGAAAATTATTGGGTCTAGCAAAAAATGGCTTTCTATAAACGTTATAGACCAAACATCAGAGAACATATCGGGTTTTTTAGAATTTCGATTGGATAAATAGTTTAAGGGCGAGATTCTTAATCCGAAGTCAACCGCAAATCGACTCTAGTGATGGCGATGTTGTTAAGGACGATTTTTCATTGTTATGCCGATTTGGATGGGCTGTGAGACAAGGAATATTATTATAATATAGCCATAGCCTAAAAATTTGGACTTTTTGGCACGTTTCATTGTACCTATGTATTAACACTTACTGTAAGTTGTAAATATTATGTATTTAAATTATTATTTATCGTAATAGTAATAAAAGGTATTATTGTATATCTTTTAGGTACTGTTATACACTTTTATTGATTATCCAGATTTAAGTCTTAGGCAGAAAGAAGAAATCTTGGCATAGGAATATCAGAGATTGGACTAACCTCAGTGTTGAACAGATATTTCAAGTCGAAAAGATAGAGAAGCATTTAAAGAAGTGATCGTAAAACTTCGTTAGAAGACGGCACAAGAAGAAGATTCAAATTTAGCCATACAGCTCTCACTCCCTCTTAGGGGAAAATTAACTCATACCAGACTCCTACGTTATCCAAAGGATTGACCTGTGGGACTCTTTCCGTGTTCGAGCCCTAAGTGACTTGGTACATCGGGGTTTGTCCCAAAAATTGTCTTACATTATTATTTAGTATTATATAAAGCTTATTAAGGACGTCGTAACGTGGTTAAAGTTCAAAAGCTTGTGAAATACAACACATCTAAAATTGCAACGGTTTTACCCTGGCAGCAAATTTCGCATTCAAAAACAAAGGCTAGTAATAAAAACAAATAAATCTATATATGTATTTCTTGATTATTATCTTGTGTTAGTTATCTTACTCTAAGTTAGACTCTTTATTACTGTAAAAAGAAGTAACACCCTCTATGGTTTAAAATTGTTTCACGTATATCACCTTTTTTGTAACAGTTCACTTGGGCCATAAATTTACAAGAACCAATGCATTTGATCTGTTTTCTACGAGCATTGGAGCCCCGAGTACAGTCTGACAATTAGAAAAAAAAGCAATATAATAATTATTCGTCACAAAAAGGTAAATATAGACTTACCTTTTACACCTATTAGGAGTATACTATATGTATGGATGTTTCTTAAACTTGGATTTCGGAGTTTATACTTTTATACGGACCAGTACGAAGATTGTTCGTACTAGTCAAATACAAAACCGATCCTTTTAGGATTGTAGAGGTTCTCCAACACTCTTGATTTTAAAATTCTTGCATAGTTGTAAATTGATTTGCAGTTGGAGGGTTTGCCAACGGCTTGGATCAAACTCAGACCGTCAAAAATGTGAGACGTTTTGTTATTTTATAACGGTAATTGTAGATATTTAGACATAACTGTAAACTGTTCTATTATAGAACCTAAGGCAGATTTATTTGATGGTATCAATAAAACTCCTGCAGGTACAAGTGACATTGGATATGCTGTTAATTGATATTTGAAAATATCCTCATAATAATAAACATCTCTTTCAATTGCCTTTGTTGCTAGTATTTTTTGTGAAAACTCTTGCTCAACTTGAATAATTTTCTTCTTTTCAGAGACAGTTCTATAGGTACTTGCGCAACGAAGTGTTGGAAGATTATTCTTTATTCTTCTTTATATGCTAATAAAAATTGGGAGTTCCAACAGTAACAAGAAATTTTGCTATTCTCTCTTCTCCATTTTTTTTTGTATATTTAGTAAGGATGCTTAAACATTTGGCGATGCAATTTCATTTGCTGAAATTACGAGAATACGATGTACGCTTTTAAAAAATACATTCAATCGTAAAAACTGATCATGTATTTTTGTACAGAATATTCATTAATTTTTATCCGTTTTTTAGAAAGAAATATGCATTAATCTGATTTTTGACACAAGTTTACTGTCAGACGTGCTGCTGTTTGTTAAATCCATTTCTAGATAAATAAAAAAATATTTACTTTAATATTAAGTAGGTATTTAATATTTTTATTATAGCAGTAAGTTAATTAGTAACTTTTAATAATTTAAAACTTTTAATATTAAAAATCTAAGCTCAGTGGATTTTGCGCTATTAGTAAAAAATAATGCACAATGTATGGAATTTCGCTATAGAATATACAACACAACAGCGTTTCAATGTAAAATCGACCCTAACAACATCGCCTTCAGTAGAGTCGATATGCGGTTGACTTCAGATTAGGAATCTCGCCCTTTCTCGCAACTCTGCGTTCGCCACTGTGCGCTGGGACATACCGTTCAATTTATTTAATTTTTTTCTTAAACTATTTATCCAATCGAAATTCTAAAAAAAACCGACATGTTCTCTGATGTTTGGTCTATCTAACGTTTATAGAAAGCCATTTTTTGCTAGACCCAATATTTTTAGAGGTAGAGCGAGGCAAACGATTTTAAAAATATGGGTTTTCGAGACAAGTTTTGTATGAAGGGGCTCCGTATACAACAATGGTTTGACGTATTCTTATAAATAAAATAAAAATATTTCTGATGTCCGGATCGATATCAATAAAAAAATAGGTTTTACATTTTAGCCACAGTGTCCACCATAATCTATTGTAGAAGCCTTTTGTCAGTCGATTTACTCTACTATATGGAACGTAGGTATTTACTCTTGTGCAAAACTAATATTTCTATGTAAAAACACGATTAGAATGTTACAATGATAGCTTTTCGTATACAGATAAACTGTTAAGTTTAAATAATTTCCCCTTTTTAATTTTGTACATAAATAATAAACAAAAATAGGATTGAGGATAGAATTCAACAAATTCAATAAAACAGAGCATTTTAGTTATTCGGTTTATAAAGTTTGTGTTGAATTATTCGATTATATACAAAAAAATTATAATCATTACTTACCTTCTGTTAGTTTTGAATTTTGTTTCACTAACTCAACTAACCGCTGCCCTCGAGACATTTTTAAAATATAAAAAACCGTAACCGCAATCTCTTTACTCCTTGAGTAGGAAATATGCAATACAAGACGAGCTCTAGTCGCTCGACTAATACCCTTTAGAGCTGGCAACAGTGTGGGATCTCGGGTTGATCGGAAAATATCTAAAATTTTGTATATAAGTCTTCCCCTTCCCTTTTCAGCTACGGATCTCGTTTCGCTTTTAATTTATCAGAAAAATTTAAGTTCAAAAATCTTTTCTCCTCTAAGTGTGCCATGATTAATATGTTAATTATAAAGGTAGCTATGAACAATATACTCAAATAATTAATTTCCTATTGGTGGATCTCGCCTTGTTATGAAGACGTATATATATATATATATATATATATATATATATATATATATATATATATATATATATATATATATATATATATATATATCGGTTTTAAAACGTTCTCCTACGTCTTCCGATGCCTAGTCGCCATTCACTTCGGTCCATCCAAAGGTCTTCATCTAATTCTCTTTCTCTCATACTTCGATTTATGCCTTCTCTCCAACTAAGGCGGGGTCTTACCCGGTCAACCCCCGACCTGGAGGACCAGGGTTTGATTTTGGAGTATTCCTTCTCCTAGAGGATTTGCTTTCTCTACAGCTTTAGAGCATCCTCCGCCCTACCTGTTGGTCCGCGGGTAGTATTTTATTTCCTACCTATCCGCCAGCACTAGGCTGGTGGGGACATGCCCCTATCCGCCACCTTGGGGACGCGCTCTCTAGGGGTTACAGGTTCCTCCGAAAGTCATAGATATTTTAGAAGCATTTTAGAAAGCATAGATTTTTTAGATTATAATTAAATTCTTATTTAATTTTATTTCTTATTTCTATGTTATCAAAGTTTTATTATTTTTCCATTAATAATTAATGATACCTTAATCTTTTTAGGAAATATATTGAAGTATTTTAGAGTCTTTGAGGTATACCTACCTCAAGAAAGAACGAAAACTAATGCAAAATTTGTAGGGCCCAGTATGCCAAGAGTTCATATAATCAAGGAATTCAAGAAGCAGCTACCAAAACCTGACTCCGAAGAAAAAACATAGTCGCAGTGTTGCCGAAATTAGGAAATTTTAATTAATTGTAGTATTTATCTTGTTTTAAATAAAATAATGAAACTTTAACAAATTTTGTTTATTTATTTTAATTTATTAGCGTTCATATTAGTTCGGTAATTTGCATATACACCCATACCTCGCTATACGACCGCTCTTTGTACAGCATTTCGCTATTACGGCCCTGTTCAATTACGGCACGGTTTCGATTTACAGCCTAAACTGTTTCACTATAACGGCTTCATTTTGCCATTCTTGCGCAAACGCAATTTTAATGCACACTCTTTCCTATTTCCACTTCCATTTGTTTACGACCGTTATTCAGTATTCAGTGATCAGTCTCGGCATCTCCACAGACCAGGAAGGTAGGTGATCTGTGGGCATCTCAGTCTGTAGTCTGAGTCTGTACTCTGTGCTCATAAAGCGGCTGGTTTACACTTGTCTGTGAGTGTTTTATTTGCATATTTTATTACCGACTATTACACATTAACTGGAAACATTGGAAACAATTAGGGGAATTTTTGGAAAGTAAGTATATAATTTATGTAAAGCTGCGACCATTTAATAGCTTAATTAAACCCTTACATATCTAGTATCCGATTTTTAAATTTTTAAACGCACATTTTACGTCAAACTGAAGCTACCAGTGACGGGCCCAGAATAGGTTGATTAAAATTTAAAAAATCAAAATACATAAATCTATTGTACAAAATAAAACAAAATGGAAATTATAGAAAAAAGTTTTTTTTTTTTTGATAACATGAATTATGTTATTAATAACGAAAATAAAGTCTGGGTTAAAAATATCCATTTTGTATTAAATAATGATAAACAGTAACACAATTAACATTGTATTTTCCAATACACGTGAAATTTTTGACATGTATATTGACATTTAGCAATTCCGTACGACACTGCGATTTACAGTAGATATTCCAATGTAAAAATAAAGGTTTAAACTATTCAGTAACCGCAGTTTTACAAATTAAAATTTTTTAATATCTATGTGTTTTTTTTTTTAAACTGATTTGATAATTTCATTATTTTTTAGACAAAATGCCACCGAAACGATTATCGACTTCGGAGACTGTTAAAAAGAGATGCCGAAAATCAGTCACGCTAGGAACTAAACTAGAAGTATTACGTCATATAGAAGCTGGAGAGAAAATTTTTGAAATATGTAAGGCAATGGGACTTGCGAAATCTACCATTCAAACTATTCGCGATAAAAAAGAAGGCATTAAAGCACATTTGCAGTCGGCTGCACCTTTAAATATCTCGAGATTAACACGATAAAGAAACTGAATTATGGAAAAAATGGCAAAACTATTGATTATATGGATTGAAGACAATAACAAACGGAGAATTCCAATGAGTCAAATGACTATCCAGGAAAAAGCTTTAACTATTTTCAAAAATTTGAAGAATGGAGATACCGATAAAACTGCTGAAGATATCTCATCTCAAGCAAGCCGAGGATGGTTTGAAAAATTTAAAAATATATTTAATTTGCACAATTTGAAAATAAAAGGTGAAGAAGCTAGCGCCGATGAGGCCGCATCTAAGGAATATTCCAACATTTTAAAAGAAATTATTGAAAGAGGTGGTTATAAACCTGAACAAGTGTTTAATGTAGATGAAACAGGACTTTATTGGAAGCGAATGCCTGATCGTACGTACATTTCAAAAATCGAAAAATGTGCGCCTGGTTATAAAGTGTCTAAAGAACGATTAACTTTGCTACTTGGTGCAAATGCCGCTGGTGATTTTAAGCTAAAACCACTTTTAATCTATTTGTCCGAAAATCCAAGGTCTCTTAAAGGACTAAATAAAAATCAATTACCCGTTATATGGAGATCCAATAAAAAAGCTTGGATGACTAAAGCTACTTTTGGGGATTGGTTCAAAAATCAGTTTTGTACAGAAGTAAAAAAATATTTGCGAGACAATAACTTAAGCAACAAGGCTTTGCTAATTTTGGATAATGCACCAGGGCATCCTACTAATTTATCCGAACTATCGCAAGATGTCAGGATTGAGTATCTTCCGAAAAATACAACCGCTTTGATCCAACCAATGGATCAGGGTGCAATAGCCACTTTTAAGGCATATTACCTACGCCGAACTTTCCGACAACTTATAAAGGAAACCGATGGTAAATCTTCAAATCAAGCATTTTGGAAAAACTATAACATCAAGGATGCTATTGATATCATCAGTGAATCATGAAAAGAATTAAAATTAACAACAATGAACAATGTTTGGAAATGACCTCGGCTTTGAAGGTGTGAACGAATGTGATGTGCTTGACATAGCCTGTTGTATCGAAACAGCTAACATCAAACAATTTGTCGAAAGCTTTTTCCTATTTCGAACAAGGTATAAACATCCTCCTTGAAAACGACCCCGACGACGAACGTAGCACTAAAGTTTCTCGAGAAATTAACTCTGTCATAAGCTGCCATAAATCACTGAAAAACGAAATAGACAAGAAGGCAATACAAACAACGTTGAACAATTTTTTTAAGCCAGGCCCTTCCTTACCAGCGAAAAATGATGACGACAGAGATTTGCACGGTAACATTTTTTCATCGTCATCAAATTATGCCCTTTTTAAAGAAAATTTGTTTGTATATACGCACATGTTTTATGTAACATGAAGTTGTTTCACTTTTGTTTATAGATTATTGTTAGTTTATGGAATCTATTACATGTTATGTTATGTACCAATGTACGTGCTGTTTTGCATGTATTTTTGATTTAAATAAAATAAAAAGATAAAATGCATTTTTAGCGATAAACCATATCACATATTTAACAAATTTTTAACCGATGCCATTGAATTTCTATGAATTTATATTAGAATAATTGATTCGTTATACGGCTATTCGTTTACGGCCAAGTGTCGTGGAACGTATCTAGGCCGTAAAGCGAGGTATTGGTGTATGTGCCTCAGAGCCACTGTATTAACTCACAAAATTTAAATATTACAGGAGAGCGGATTAAAAGAAATATTAAGAGTAAATTTTAAATAGAATTTTTATTTCTTTTTCTTCAAATATGTGATAAAGACCATTTGAGAGGTATAAATGATACTATATATTACTGTATTAGATATTTTTATAGCTCTTTAATTTTTTGAAAAAACATCGAGTTAATACTGTTTAGCATGAAAAAAATTACCATATTCGGGATATAATATAATGGTAAGTTAACACACGTGAATAAATAATCTGGAGATAATACGATAAATGAAACAAAATTTAGTCGAGAACACTTCTTTTTATTTAGTTAAATCAAATAAACAAGTCATATATGTAAAACAAAATGAGTAAATAAAACTAACAAAAAACGAAACTCGTAAAGGATCATGAGTGTTGTTCACTTAAAATTGTTTTGGAAAATTTTTATAAATTCTCATCTATTTTTTGATGTCTTACACAATTTGATTATAATATAATATATATTAATAAATTGTATTTATAAATACAAATTAAATTTAAATTTCATTCCGAGTGTGTACTTCAACGAGGTAACATCGTATCAGTGTTTTGTTCCGAGTTTTAGTGCTTTTTGTGAAACCTAACAACTACTTTTAAATACTAGTAAGACCAGACTTTACCGTATGTATTGATAAGCCTAATTGCATGTTTGTTTTTTTCTGGAGCGATTAGTTAATTAGCAAATTAATAATTTCTTCAAACTGGGCCAGTTTCCAGTGGCGTAGGCCTACCTAATATGTATTTTTGGAAGAAAATACATAAAACCTAACTAAATTTAACAAATAATTAAAATTTTCGTCTACCTTTGACTACAAGGGTACCGACAACAAGTACAGTTCACACATCAGATCCTCACAGTTCACAACTTTTCAAGATGTCACAAAATATTCAGCATAATTCTACTTCAACTTTCTCATACGCAACTGCAACGAAATCAACTCCTAAATCAACTTTTCCAAAGAGGGATCAAGCCATAGTATTGCATGCCGATGAAAACCTAAAATTGTTCGATTACGTCAAGGCAGTAGGTGACGCTATTGGTCCCAAACAAATCCTATTCGCATCCAGAATATCCAATAACAGAATTTGTATATATTTAACTAACTCAGAACTCGTCGACAAACTTCTAAAATCTCATCCGGTTTTGACAATAGGAAACAGTGTGATGAATGTTCGCAGGCTAGTCTCCCCTACAAAAAGAATAATTATATCCAATATATCTCCATGTATACCACACGACCTTGCAGAAAATGCTATAAAAGAACTTGGGCTCCAACTGGCCTCCCCCGTCTCATTTTTAAGAGCAGGTATTCCCGGCGATGAATATTCACACATCATGAGCTTTAGAAGGCAAGTGTATGTTTTTACCTCTGATGACAATTTTAATCTGCAAACTTCATTAGTTATCCCATTCGAAGGTAATGAAAACAGAATATTTTTGTCCACAGACAAAATGGAATGCTACATATGCAAGAAGTCAGGGCATATTGCCTCAAATTGTCCCAATCCTCCACCCAATTATATAGCATCCCAGCCTCAGCCGTTAACATCAACCCAGATAACAGACCTCTCACTACCACAGTCTTCTATACAACCCGCAACATTACCAGATATATCTACTTCAGAACTAAACAATTCCATAATGACTAAAACGCCCACACATAAACGTGGCCGCTCCGAAATCGAGAGTACAAGTGAGCAAACTGATGTTCCCGATAACATCTCGGTAGCAAATCCATCCGAAGACAACTTCATGCCTCCCCCTAATAGAGACATTAAAAAACCAAAAAAGAAACCCAGAACAAGTTCACTGTCAGAACGTTACCTTTCTGATTTAACAAAAGACGCTATGAAAGAAGCCTTTAAGAAAACCCCAGAATCACTTGTTATTCCTCCAGAAAACTTGATAGCCTTTGTCGAAAATACTTTTGGCTGTAGTGACCCCTACGCTGAAGCTCTTAAGTTTACAGAAAATGTTTCAGGACTAGTTTCTAACATTCAAGCATTATACCCAACTTGTCAGGAGAGATCTATCAAAAACAGGCTAACCCGTCTAACCAAAAAA